CCCCCTGCCCCCGCCCCCGCCCCAGAAGCTGGGTTGAGAAAGATCTTGGCTTCTGTATTGCTTGATCATAAGGGAGTTGAAATGTTGCTCTGTATCATCATTTCTTCATTCATTCAACATTTAGTGCGCACTTACAACATGCCAATTACCGTTCTGAGTACTGGGCAGGAAGAGATGTAAACAAGACCCAGTTTCCACAAAGAGCTCACAGGCAGGTGTGCAGCCTGCTGCTTTTGTAATGAACCATAACACACTGTGTTATATTAACAATATGAAAAAGACTTGGGTAGATGGAGGAGAAATGAGCCCATGGGCCGCACTTCCTCTCAGAAGCCGCCTCTGTCTTGGGTGGTCACTTGGGTGGTTGCCATAATGTAAACAAACATGGATGATGCCATGCTATTTTGACTCTGTCTGAACAGCAGCCGATTTCCTCTCTCCTCAGGGCAACACAACAAAACAACAATAATCATTAGCCTTTTCTGCTGAGGTAGCCATGCAGATCTTTCTAACCCATGTCGGCTTTCAACAGCCACATTTTGACCATGTTTTATTGAAAGCAGACCCACATTTTAGTCTTGCAAAAGTCTCCCACGAGTAGGAGCTGCGTGGAAGTACATTGGAAAAACACCCCCTCATGAAGGACCTCTTTTTAGAAGAATGGCTGGATGGGAGGATGCAGGGAGAAGTGTGGTAAAAAGCAGTAGACCTACAATTAGAAGGCGAGAGGTCTAGTTCTAGCACTTCACCAGTTATCCTAAAGTGCCTGGGCCTCGGTTTCCTCATTTGCAAATGGGGATGATAACAGCATTCACCTTGTTGGGTCATGCTGAGAATTGGTGAGAAAATGCTTATAAGGCACTTAGAATGCAGGCACAGCTGCAGTGGTGATGATGGCCTCACTTCCTCGTCTGCAGAAGGAGCGAGTGTCTGTCCAGCAACATTTGAGCATCTTCCATATTGGTGCCACACTGGAGGTTAAGGATGGTCCAGCAGCTCACCATTGGGGAAGGGGACACACACACACACACACACACACACACACACCTCTAACAGCTGTTGGGTTCATGAGGTTGGGTGTGCAGGGCAGGAGGGTCCTGGAGAGCTTGCTGCGGAGGCAGTGTTTGATATGGGCTTTGGAGGGTGAGTAGAAAGAAATTGTCTTTGCAGAAAAACACATCAAGTTCTTCCTGATCTGCCTGGACTCCCTTCTGCTGCTTCTCTAGCCCCTTACACTGGGGTATTTTCAGTTCCTCAAAAATAGGCCATACCTTCTCTAGCCTTCTACCCGTCTTTGCACAGGCCCATTCTTTTGGCCTGAAACTCCTTCCTCTGCGAGGGGGGCAGCGTAGTGGACAAGCAAGGCCCCAGGGTCAAACTGTGGGGTCCATCCTAGCTTAGCCATTTACCAGCCAGTGGGGCCCCTGCTGTGCTACTCAATCTCTGGGTGAGTCAATGTCCTCAGCTGCAAAATGGGGATGCAGGCCAATGATAGTGCCCGCCTCAAAGGCTGGCTATGAGGACTGATGGAGGCAACACCTGACCAGGGCTTGTCAGTGGGCCCGCAGTAATCACCGAATATTAAGCAGGAGCAGTTTGTGGTGAACACTCTATCCTACTTGCATTTCAGGTCTTAGCTTAGTCATCAGCTCCTCTTGGGGGTGTTTCCTACACCGACCAACACCTAAGGCCAGGTTGAGTGCTCCCTTTGGCATCTCCTCTTCCACCGAATTACCAACACCTGCCATCTCTGTGTCCCCACCGGATTGCAAACTCCATGAGGACAGGGGGCAGATGATTGCTGGCTGCTGGGAGGGACACATGGTAGGCACTCAATCAATACTGAATGAATGACTTGGGGTGAGGGTCCTGGCGACCCCCAGGGATACGGCAGAGCCTCCTGGGGTAGCCAGGGTGGGAGTGGGTCGTCAGAGCATCTGAGGATGAAGGGACAGGTGGACCTTAACACCGCAGACGGCAGCGAGAGCCCCGGCGTCCAGGGGGACGCGCACCGCCTTACGGGTAGGATGCTTTGCGACTTTGGCCGGCCACCCCCTTCGGAGAAAATGCAGCCTGACGGGTAAGGCGAGGGCTCTCGGGCC